AGTACTTAAAACATAAAATGACAGGAGAAAATCTGTCTATAATTCTGATTATCCCAACCAATTCCCAAGAAACCTGTCAGCTTGAACTGAACTATATTGAATGAATATATTTCTCTATTTCTGTTGAGGTAGCAAAGTCATTTTGCAACATAAAAGTCCTGAGATGAACCACAGCCTGGGTTCTTGTAGGTTTTTCTTCTATGCATTTTAAAGTTTTTTCTGGTTACTTCTTCCCTAAGTCTGAAAACATGAATGTTGAGTACAGTGTTTGCCCAAAAATCTTTCTTCATCCAACACACAATTTCACAGTATATATCTGTGGAGATTCTCAGTCATCCAAGTTATGCTTGAAAAAGTCCAGTCTAGGCAACTGCACATGATGTTTTCTAGAATCTAGAAAACTGATCTTCAGCAAGTTTTCACAGCATAATTACAAGGAGACATCTCTCCTCAGGTGTGAGTGTTGTTTTTCTGTCCTGTGTGTCTTATCATTTTTTGATTGCAAGATGATGATTCTGGTTGATAGTGGTGTAAAATGCAAGACTTCATCCTCCAGCTGGAGGGTTGCTGGTTCAAACCTCAGCTCTGTCTATCTCTGTCAAGTCCTAAGGCAAGACTTTTCACTACTGACCTACTGATCGTGTTCAAAGGTTCCAGTTTTGCCCGTGTACTACATCAGCCTTGCTGTATGGTAAATGCATTGTATGGAAGTATAGGGTGTTTACCATTTTACATTCCAAGTCAACTAATACCATCTGATTACATTTTTTTTTTTTTTTTTAAAGAAAAGCCAAATATGACAGAGTATAGCTTTTTGTTCTCCTTGAGATCCATAGTATGAGTAAAGAATAAATTACTCTCACTATCATTGCTTCACAAGCAGTAATCAGCTGCAGATTAAATCCATAAGCACATAGCTTTGAGATGGGAGGAGAATCAAATGATATTCAAAAAGGTGAAATTCCCCATTCAGACACATTCTTCTCCTGACCACATCCTGAAATCCTGTTGATAGATCCCCATAAATCTAATATAGTGGGCATAGCCATAGTAAGATTACTGTTCAAACAAAAAACATCACAGCACATAAGAGTAACCCCAGTCACATAGGCGGAAGCTGTCAATGAATAACAGACATGACTGACTGCCGTCATCTTGCTGGTCACATTTACATTAATCTCTTTAAGTCGATGAATCAATCATTAGCACTGGGCCAATCCCAAACTCCTCAAAAACAGTACCTCTACAGTATGCATTAACCCTCTGTTTGCGCGTTCAGTCGGCGGCTCTGCCATATTAAGTGCTGTCCCAAACCACATAGTGAATAGGGTAAGTTGACCTTTCAGCCCTCAAGTACTAAGTCTGCATCAGTGAAGGCTCGGTAGAATTTGGCATTGGATGTAATGGTGACCTAACTGTGGAGGAAACACCTGCATTTAAATATAAGTTCGACTGGTTTCATTCATCTTTTTCACACTGACAGAAAATTACAAGTTAGGAAGAATAAAAAAGGCATCATTAATTCTTAAAGGGAAGATCCTCTTTGAAACAGCTTTGTTTGACCATAAAAATTTATTCTCAAGGAAGGGACACATATTTGATTTATTTTCAGCACAGTAAAGAGGTTTTAAAGTGTTTGTTTGGAAGATGATGGAAGTGGTGAATTTGTGGAATCACTCAAATGTCCCATTTGAAGTAGGGGAGAATGTGGAAACTTGCAACAGGTTTTATATCTCAGTTTCTCATAGGTAGTGGTGGAAAGTAACAAAGTACATTTACTTGATTACTGTACTTAAGTATTGTTTTTGTATTTTCTTTATTTGAGTTATTTTCTGATGGGGAACTTATAACTTCAACTCCACTACACGTCAAATATTGTACTTTCTACTTCACTACATTTCTAGGAAGCTGCTAGTTACTTGTTACTTTTGAAATGCAATTTCAACAAGCAAGATAGCAGCCCTTAGGACTGAATTTGAACTGCTGTTTTAGAGATTCGTATGACTTTCCACAAATATGAGAAACTCAGAGCAGATATTATTTGTAGGTCATACATTTAATTAAGGCGTTAGTTGCCGCCATGTGGTCAAGTTGTTCATAGGATGAGTTGAGGTTTCTTTGTGGTAACAGATCCAACCTTAAGCATCTATTCCTCAGTGAAAGTGTGAGTAGAATCCAGACAATCCTGTTTTCTTCTTGGTTTGTTTTTAAATAAGAAATAATAATCAAAATAGCTGTCCTCATTTTTTGTGGCATTCTTATGCTGAAGTTCTTTCCAGGTGGGTTAGAATTTGTAGCAGATTGGTTATACGGGACAGTACATCAGTTGGTTTCTGAAAGTTACAAGGTTTTTTAAAATTATTCTGAAAATTATAAAGTTGCCATAGCAATTTTCTTTTACTGGTAGAAGGAAAATGGCATCCCATTCTCATATACACTGTCTACCTTCATTTAAAGCACCATTCCTAGCTTCTAGTGTAACTTAATTGAGAGGAGCACTCAATAGTTAAGGGGTAATACATGGGGGGCAGTTTGGGATTCTTTACTTCTTCAAGAAACCTACTCAGCATGCAATGCACTTCCTCTTTGATTAAAGCATTATTGTCAAAGTTAACTAAATGGACACTGGATATGTTTAAAGTTAAACTGACCCTTTCCATTACCTACTATGTATAAAAAAAAAACTCCATGTATTGTAAAACCCTGAACATAGTCCCCACATTTATGGGGACTATGTATTATGCTATTTGTATGCCTTGTTTTCTGCAAGGACAGAGACTCTGCTCTACAAGGTTTTTCTTTCAGTACTTTCCTGTATTCAGCTCTATCAATCTTCCACAAAATGTTGCAGGAAAAACTGGCTGTAAAAGACTAAATTGAAGGGGGAATATATATAGTGTGACACTTCTGATAAAAACATAGACACACACTAGTTCTACGAGCAGTTTTATTTCATACAGACACTCATAAACTACTCCACATGCCCATGTTTAACGTGTTAGATGCGCAAATAGAGTACCACAGGGCTTCAATATATCACACATATGAATGTTTGCTCCTTGTCTGCACACGTGTGGTTTGATTTCCTGCGTGCACAGCATCCCTCCTTTTGGCCCAATCCCAAACCGCCCCCTAAGCTATACACTTTAACCATCGAGTGTCACTCCCAATGAAGTCACACTCACAGCTGTTTTTTTCTTATAAAAAATGTTAAACCAAATAACAATTTCCTTTTGCTTCACAATCTATGATAGGAGCACTACTATGCATTAGTCTACCCGATGAATTCACAATAACATCTATTAAAAGTGACTGTACTGTGACCACCTTTGATATTTTTGAAATAAATATTTTTAAGAAAGCATCATGTTGCATGTTTTGTGTAGGTGACAGGAACATATTTTCTTATTGATGCATCTGACTGCAGAATAAATGTGGTCTGCAAGCTCCTCCATCTGTTCTTACTGATGAAATCTTCCACATGTTGTGTCATCGCTGCCTTCAGAGAGCACTTTAAGTCCTTTTGAGCTCAGACATGCATGTGAAGGGAATAACTAAAGTCCAGCATGAAAGAGTGTTTTAGCTCGCACTAGCCTCTAATGACTTGTTTGTTCCTTCTGTGCCATTCATCAAAGCCTCAGCATAGAGTAACGCAGTCTGTGACGAGTCGACTGCAATTTCATCACACACAGACGGCGGCAATGATAAGGAGTCGGAGAACAGAGTGGCAGCTGAGAAGAGTTCAGTTGATTCACTTTGAAATGGAAGACACATTGGTGCTGCTGCCCTGTGGCGAAAAACTGAAAAACAGCAGCAGCTGATGCTCACGACTTAAAAAAAAAAAAAAAAAACTCTGTTCACGAATGATACAATCTAACGACTGTTGGTGGATCAACATATTTGCAGCATGTTTAAGACTTACTAGGGAAGCAGAGCTAAAATAACCTGAAGGATTCTTCGTTTTAAACTTCCAGAAGTGTCTTATCCATAAGACAGAACAGCTTTTAAATTTTAGAGAGCACTTTTTGAACTCCTTTTTTTTTTCAATGTTGTTGCTCAGGAAACAAAGTTCATAAGTTAAATAGAAAATATTTGAGTAGATTTGAGTTGATTACACTTAATCTCCAAAATGTTAGGATACTTTGTGGTAGAAAATTATGAACCAAAACTATAAAAAAAAAAATCTGAACAAATGGCTGAGTACCAAGACTTACCTTCATCCTCCTGGACTCAATCCGAGACTTGTAGCAGAACTCAACCAGAGCCACCAGCATGGCCAGCCCGAGTCCACCAATCAGAATGTAGAATACTCCGGCTACATTACTGAGACTGAGAGCACTCGTCTTGTCCTGTCATCACAGGGATTTAGATTTAGGGAAAGACAGTCATGGTGCTGAGATCACAATTAATTCTACTGAATAACCTCACAGTTGACTTTCTTGTTCATGGTTTATTTTAATAATAAGCAGAAAAAAATATCATTCAGAGGCTGTGACATGAGGAGACACTCCTTTAAATTAGAATTAAAAAAAATCAGTAACCTAGCTCCTACTCCATGTGAAATAGCAACATGAAATATGTATGACGTTTTGCCTTTGCCTGTTTGAGGTGATAATTTACATTATAATATATTTTCTGGTTGGTTCTGAATATTTTGTTCTTGTGTTTTTGTCCCACTTATTTACAGGTTT